CCGACTCACTGGAAAAGACTCTGGTGCTGGGAAAGATTGGGGGAAGCAGGAAAAGGGGACGACAGAGGATGAGATGGTTGGCTGGCATCACCGACTCAATGCACGTTGAGTTTAAGCAAGCTCTAGGAGATAGGGAAGGACAGAGAAGCCTTGGGTGCTGCAGTCCATGGAATTGCAGAGTTGGACATGACTTAGGGACTGAAAGACAAATACCTTTGATATAACCTCCTGTCTATTAAAAGGAACATTAGTACGTAGTACATCTAGTCTTAATGAGCATCTAGATGTTTCTGGAAGAACCATCAGCAATGAAATAATAATGATGTAAATATTTAAGTGACATAAATGAGACCTGGCATTAAGATAAGCTCCATATTTATTCTAGTCATTTAGTCACAAAAAGGGCAGTCCTCTGAAGGTAATCTTTGCATTCTAAAAAGACCTAGTTTTCATCACAGTGCATTATTTTTTAATACCCTGAAATTGCTTTTGGAGGAATGAATGTAATTCTGTTACTTCTAATGTGATGATAACTCCTGGGAATATTTTAATGTGTGAAAAAATTCAATACAAATAAAAATCATCCATTGAAGTAATTTGATTTCAGTAATATGATTTCAGTAATATTTCAGTAATATGATTCTAAAATAAATTCAAGATTTAAAAAATCAGGTTTCCCTTGAAAGGACTCTTAACGTGTTTTTAGGATACTGCATAGGTATTTGTGTAAGCTAACTGAGAGAATTTTTTGCTATCAATACCTTTATTCATCAGGAAGTGGTTGAAACAGAGCCCTTGCAGAGAGGGAAACTCAGTGAAGATGGTGTTGTGACTTGAACTGTGTTGCCCCAGAAAGACATGTCTAAGTCTTAACTCCCAGGGCCTTGGAAAGCAACCTTAATTGGACATAGGGTCATTGAAAATGTAATTAGTTAACATGAGGTCATACTGTGCAGGGGAGCCCCTAAGCCATTATGACTGATATCCTTATAAGAAGACAGCCATGTGATGCTGTGTGCGTGCACACACACACTGAATGCCATGTGACCACAAATAGACTGCAGTGATGCAGTGCAACCCAAGGAGCCTAGGGCTTATTTGTGAAACCAGGAGCCAAATAAAAGGCATGTGGCAGGTTCTCCCCCAAAGCTTTGAGTACGTGGTCCTGCCCACACTTTGTGTTCTCCCTGGCTAGACTAGCCTCCAGAACGGAGTTCGGAGTTTTAGCCACTGGACCTCCAGGGAAGTCCCAGGGTTATGTATTCTTAAATCTCACACTAACTTTGAGATTTTAGGATACTACAAAGAGGCCAGCAATGCAAAAGTGAAAAAGAAAGAAAGCTGATTTTAAAAGCCATATTATTCATTAGGAATGATTTGGCTACGAATAGAAAAAACCTACTCGCTGTGGCCTAAAGAATAAGAAATGTGTTATCTGACATAACAAGGGGTCTCCAAGCAGGGAAGCTACAGGGTGGATTTCATCCCATGGTTCTGGGTCTTCATCAAGCATATGAGTTCTTGCCCTCTTTCTCTCTGCCATCTTCACTTTGTAAGCTTTGTCTGAAGGCTGGCTCCTCTCCCAGCAGCAAAATGTCCCCTGCTCCTTCAGGGTTCACACCAAACAGGACACAATCCTGAAGAGGACACTATGTCTCCCTGGAGAAAGGAAAACTCTCCCATCAACCCGCTGTAGACACCCCCTCCTCACTGGCTAAAACTGTGCCATATGCACCTCTAAATCATTGTTGAAAAGAAGAATGCAACCAGAGATCGTTCATTGTCCCCAGATATCCTCTTCTTTCTTCCTTTCTATGGAGAACTCCCGGAAATTTCATCTGGAAACATAATCAGCAAGCTAGAAGCCACCTTCCCCAGCTTCCTTGCATCCCCGTGTAGCTGTGTGCCTAAGTTCTGGCCATTAGGATGTGACAGGGGATGATGTGGGTCATTCCTGCATTATTCCTTAAAAAGAAGTGTGCTCTCTGCCATCTCAGGTCCTCCCCTCTGCTACTGTTAGGGGAAACACACTGACTGAACTGCCCACCCTGGTCAGGCACCATAGTAACCATTTGCATGAGTTAGTTTATGACAGGAGATCCTAGTAAGGAACACAGAACTAACAAGCCACCACCAACCAGAAGAGTTCGGAAAAGGTCTAAAGGAGACACCATGTGTCCAACCAGCCTCCCAGCATCCTTCTCACTGGCATCTATCTTGGCTGAGCAATGTGTGCACCACCAGGAAGGACCCTGAGTTAGAGTGATGGGCCAGAGAAAACCCGGAAAGTAATCCCATCACTGTAAAATCTGAGCCTTCGAGCCACGTGGCACAGCAGTCCTTCTGGGTGCCCTCATGCTCCTGCTTTCTGCCCAAGCGCCCCTTTCCAAGAGAGTCTCTTGCTCTGTCAGCTCATGTGTCTCCTTGGACAATTCATTTCCGAGTGTGAGACATGAGCCCACGCTCAAGCCCTGGAAGGGATCCCCTTTCCAGTAGCATTACCATGAAGATTTGGTCATGCACAGTCAGCTTCAACACAAAGACGTGGGTAATTCCTCTGGGGGTGACAACAACAGGTAGAAGGAACCTGGGACCCAAGACACTCTCAAGAAGCTGAGCCCGGGTACCATGCTAGATCCACTCTTTCTGGCTGAAGGTGAAGCTAGCCTCCTCTGGAAATTTATGGCCACACAGAGGAGGAACTCCCTTCCCTCCCAGGGCTCATCGACCACCCTCTCCCATCTCTGCCCTTCTTCACTTCTCAGGTATCTAGAGAGTGTTAGTCATTTAGTCGTGTCTGACTCATGTCTGACCCTACCCCATGGACTGTAGCCCGCCAGGCTCCTCTGTCCATGGGATTTTCCAGGCAAGAATACTGGAGTGGGTGGCCATTCCCTTCTCCAGGGGATCTTCCCAACCCAGGGACCAAACCAAATCTCCTGCATTGGCAGGTGGATTCTTTACTGTCTGAGTTACCAGGGAAGCTCAAGTATCCGGAGAGCAGCGATTTAGTCCCTTTAGGGGCTCAGTCGTTAACAATTGGCCTGCAATTCACGAGACCTGGGTTTGATCCTGGGGTCGGGAAGATCACCTGGAGAAGGAAGGAATGGCAACCTGCTCCAGTATTCTTGCCTGGAGAATCCCAAGGATGGAGGAGCCTGGTGTGCTACAATCCATTGGGTCACAAAGAGTCATTCGGTTCATCCAAAGGTGAACTTCTCTTCAGGGCTGATTAAAATACTTCATCTATTTGAGTGGTCTTTCTCATCCTCTTGATGCCTCTGAGATAAAAGGAGCTTGGAGGGTCCAATGTCCAGGCCTGCTCTGGCCTCAGGGCGGTATCCCTCATCTGCTGGGTGAAGTGGCTACTTGTTGGAGGAATGGCTGGCCAGCGCCCAATGGACTCCTGCAGTCACCACGAGTCTATGCCACACACACCCCCAGGCTCTTGCCCACCCAAGACTCTGCTCTCACTCTTCCAGTCCCTGTCCCCTTTGTCCCACAAGTCCCTGAGGTTCTCAAGCCAACCACCTCTGTATCTTCCGGGATCCATGAGAGCCGCCTGTGGGAGCTTCAGTCTGGTGGGATGCTTCCTGGGAGCCATCCACTCTCCTCCACCCCGACCCCAGCGTGCAACCTCATCCCAGGCCAGAGAGAGAAACAAATCCATCCAATCACCCAGTCCCTTACCTCGGGCTCCACAGGCCTCTCCGCAGTGGCCTTAGGAAGAAGGCAGGCTTTTCCCCTCCTCTTCCTGCCCTGAAGACCATCCCCCTTCATCACATCCTCTTTCTTCCAGAGGTGACTCCTGCCCTTGCCCTGGGGTAGAAAGGGTTCAGGAAATAGAAACCAGCTTATCGTAAGGAAACACAGCCAGGCATCATTCAAAAACATCTTATCTGTTACAAAGGGGAAAGAAGTCTATAGAACAACGACTGCCTCAGCTGGGCAAGGCCAGGGCCTGGCAGAAGAGACCAGCCTTCACGGGGAAGCCAAGGTCCAGGTTACAGCCCGGGGCTCCCAAGGCCCTCGTATGCAGGTGGGAGGAGCCCCGCGCAGGGAGGCCCCAGGCACGGGAGGGGCGGGCCTCGTCCTGCCTTCTCTGCGTCGCCGGCTCCCCCACCCCCACCCCCACCCCCGTGCTCAGCCCGTCCGGCTGGTGTCCGGCTCAGGTTCTCAGAACACTGTTTTCGAGCCGACTGAACTTATCCTGGCCTTTGCCAATGACTCACTCTTTGCCCTTGTCAAGCTTCCTTGCTTGAGTCTGTTTTTCCCTCAATAAAGTAGAGCTGATAACGAATAAAACCTACTTCACAAGGATTCTTCCAGAGTGAAAAAGAAAATGTATTGAATCTCTCTTGGTGAGCTCAGAAATGTAGTGGGGAGTATAGATTTCTGTTTACCCTGGAGCTTACCTGGTTCTTCCTTATGACAGCTTCCTCCAATGGCCTCTCTAGCAGTGAAATTTTATAAAAAGAGGTGCCTCATCTCTGAGTCCGCTCAGGCCTCAGGACCCCATCCTATTTAAGCACATGGTTTCCTTTTACCAACACTCTCCACTGAAGTCTCCCTCAATTTTCTTTTAAAATATATTTGAAAACAAAGAAAATGAGGAATTGGGAAGCATTTTTGTTAATTAAAACCTTACAATACTTAATGTCAGAAAGACTGGAGAAAGTGACCATGCAAGAAAAAGGAGAAAGGAGTGAAATATTTATAGCACTGAAAGAAAATCAGCAACCTAGAATTCTGGGTCTAGCAAAATTATCCTTCAAAAGCAAAGGAGAAATAAAGACTTTTTTAAAAAAGCAGAAATTGAGGGAATTTGTCTCCAGTAGACTTGCCTTATAAGAAATTGCTGAAAGATGTTCTTCAGAGAGAAGGAAAATGCTATGGGTCAAAAACTCAGATCTACATAACAAAAGAGAGTTTGAGAAATAAAGATAAAATCTTTTATTTTTCTTATATTTTCTTTGCTTTTTTTTTTTTAGCCATGCTAAATGGCATGTGGGATCCCTAGACTCAAGGAGTCTTTAACCACTGGATTGCCAGGTAAATTCCTATTTTTCTTATTCTTAACAGATTAAACCATTAGTTCAAAGGAATAACAGCAACAATGCATTGGGTGATTATAGCTTATGGGTAAATGAAGTGCCTGACAGCAGTGTTATAAGAGATGGCAGGGAGGTATTAGAACTATTCATTACACAGTACTTGCACTGCCTTGAAATGGTATAATGTCATTTGAAAGGAGACTTAGATTAGCTATAAATGTATATTGCAAACTGTAGGGCAATGACTAAAAAAAATTTTAAGGAGGTATATTGATATACAAAGAAAGAAAACTGAGTCATACAAAATGCTTAATGAAAACTGGAGAAGGCAGGAAGAGTAGACAACAAAAAAGAAACAAAGAATGACAACAATGAGCAAAAACAGTTATGTATATGGTCATATATGATTGATACTAATACAGCCATATCAGCAATCACTGTAAATGTGAATGGTCCTAATATGCCAATTAAGAAACAGAGGCTATGACCAAGCTCTATGTTGTCTATAAGAAATCCAATTTAATTACAAAGACACAGCAATTTCCCTGGTGGTCCAGTAGCTGAGACCTTGTGCTCCCAATGCAGGGGGCCCAGGTTTGATCCCTGGTCAGAGAACTAGATCCCACTTGCTGAAACTTAAGGTTTCTCATGGCTCAATCAAGGGTTCACATGCTGCAACTAAAGATTCCCCTTGCCACAATTAAGACCCATGCCCAGGCAAACAAATATTTAAAAAAAAAATTTTTTTTTAATAAATAAAGACTCAGATCAAAAGTAAAGTGATGGAGACAGATAAACCATGCTACACTGATCAAAAGAAAACTGCACTAGCTAAATTCACTTAGACAAATCATCTCCTGCAATACCTTGGAATATAATCAAATCAATATATGGTATATATGGGACATGCCAATCAGGTCCATAGCTCTAGGAGAAGTGTTTGAGGAAAGTGTGAATGTTTATGTATGTTGGCTGCTTTTCTGCCTTTAGCTAAGGTCTGTGAGAGAGATAAGTCCAGGCAAAAGCTAGCCAGTTGGAAAGTAAAGTGGAATGGAATACATTTCCACTAAGGAGGTTTTGGAAAGTCTTCTTGAGCACTCTTTACTAGATAATGGGAGCCAGACAGATTAATAAAGTTTGGTTCCTTTCCAACCCAAGCCTATTGCTTCACGTGGCCTCACGGTATCCATCATGATACTTCAAATGTGGGTTTGTGCCATGTGCCAGCCAGTGAATCAAAGCAGAGATTCCTCTGGCTTAAGAACTTTTCCCTGACAAGATGTATGGCTATGGTTACAAAGGAACCTTTGGACCAAGGAACTGAATAGAAGGAAAAACACCAGAAACATGTTGAGTCCTTCAGGAATCTGTAATTCTTTAACCCCTAAAGCAAACCTCAGGGTCCTCAAAACTCAACCTACATGAAAGCGTACTCTTCAATACCACTTCTGGTGTAGTCTCAAGGAGGATAATTGATGGAAGAACCTTCCAGAGGCAAAACCAAAGGCCACAGATGATAATGAACAAGGAAATTCATTGGCAGAGCCAGGGTCTCTCACTTTATTGCTGGAGCAGAGAGTCTCAGTGGGTGTTACATCATTGCAGTGGTCCAGTGATTACTGTTTCCCTCCCTTTCTTTCCTTTTCTGGAAGAGTTTTTTATGATCCTGTTCCTCATTTGCTGTGGTTGTTCAGTTGCTAAGTTGTGTCTGACTCTTAGTGACCCCATGGACTGCAGCATGCCAGGCTTTCCTGTCCTTCAGCATCTCCCAGAGTTTGCTCATACTCATGTCCATTGAGTTGGTGATGCCATCCAATCATCTCATCTTCTGTCATCCCCTTCTCCTCCTGCCCTCAGTCTTTCTCTGTAGCAGGGTCTTTTCCAATGAGTTGGCTCTTTGATTCAGGTGGCCAAAGTATTGAAGCTTTAGCATCAGTCCTTCCAATGAATATTCAGGGTTGACTTTGTTTAGGATTGACCGATTTGAACTCCTTCCTGTCCAAGGGACTCTCAAGAGTCTTCTCCAACACTGCAGTTCGAAAGCATCAATTCTTCACCTACTGATATTGAAGGGAAAAGTTCTTAGAAAAGGCTGATGTCACCCTTACAGATAACCTGCTAGATGCTAAGTCACTTCAATCGTGTCTGACTCTGCGAACCCATGGACTGTAGCACCCACCAGGATCTTCTGTCCATGGGATTTTCCAGGCAAGAATATTGGAGTGGCTTGCTATTTAACCTAGGGGTCATTTAATGTATGATGAATTTATATGTTTATCCTCTGCATTATCTTTAGTTGCTAAGGCTGTGGAGAAACAGGAACTCCTATTCATTGCTGGTAGATATGCAAATTGGTACAACCATTGTGAAGTGGAGTTTGGCAACATCTTAAAAAACCACACATGTGTTTGTTTTTGACACAATACTTGCCCTTCTAGGAAGCTGTCCCAGGAAACACCTTCAATTATATGAAAATACTTTAGCCCAAGATTGTTCACTGCAATATTATTTGTATTAATAATTGCATTCTAAATGTCCAAACATAAGAAAATAATTGAAGTATGATATTATTCATACAGTAAAATATGATAGAACTATAAAATAACAATAATAAGAACGATCTCTATAAACTCAGTTCAGTTCAGTCGCTCAGTCATGTCCGACTCTTTGTGACCCCATGAACTGCAGCACGCCAGGCCTCCTTGTTCATCACCAACTCCTGGAGCCTACCCAAACTCATGTCCATTGAGTTGGTGATGCCATCCAACCGTCTCATCCTCTGTCGTCCACTTCTCCTCCTGCCCTCAGTCTTTCCCAGGACCAGGGTCTTTTCAAATGAGTCAGCTCTTTGCATCAGGTGGCCAAAGTATTGAAGTTTCAGCTTCAACATCAGTCCTTCCAATGAACACTCAGGACTGATCAATCTCCTTTAGGATGAACTGGTTACATTTCCTTGCAGTCCAAGGGACTCTCAAGAGTCTTTTCCAACACCACAATTCAAAAGCATCAATTCTTCAGTGCTCAGCTTTCTTTACAGTCCCACTCTCACATCCATACATGACTACTGGAAAAACCATAACCTTGGCTAGACAGACCTTTGTTGGCAAAGTAATGTCTCTGCTTTTTAATATTCTGTCTATAAACTGTCATAGTATAATTGCCAGAATATATTAAGTGAAAAAAGGAAAATCTACCTGTGGTAGCCATTCTCAAAATGTAGTCCACACACACCTTGGGGTCCCTGAGACATTTGCAGGTGGCCCATGAGATCAAAACTATTTTCCTAATAATATGAAGCCACCATCTGCCTTTTTTCAGAGGTGACATTTACACTGATTGTGCAAAAGTAATAGGGTAAAACCACAGGGACTATCATAAATCAAGGCTGTGCCATATACTCTCTACGAGTACACTCTCTTGGTTAAAAAAAAAAAGACAATTTCCCTTAAGAATATTCAGATGAGGCAGTAAAAATTAGTAATGTTATCAGACTTGACTTGAGGTCATGTCTTTTTAATAATCTGTGTAACTGGACTTCCCTGGTGGTGCAGTGGATAAGAAGCCCCTGTCACTGCAGGGGACACAGGTTTGATTCCTGGTCCAGGAAGATCTCACATGCCTCAGAGCAACTAAGCCAATGCAGGACAACTACTGAGTCCACGTGCAGCAACTACTGAAGCCCGAGTACCCAGAGCCTGTGCTTTGTAACAGGAGAAGCAACTACAATGAGAAGCCCACACACTGCAGTGAAGAGTAGACCTCACCCACCACAGCCAGAGAAAGCCTGTGTGCAGCAGCAAAGACCCAGCACAGCCAAAGACAAAATAAATGAATTACTAGTCTGTTTGACTCAATGGAAAATACCCATGAAGCACTTCTGACACACCCAGTACAATAGTTACCTCCAGGAAAATAATTTCTGGTATTGTTTGAGTCACAAGCTGAGCTGGCCATTTTCTCATGGAACGCCATTTTTACCTGAAAGAATACCTGCCAGACAAACTTGTTATTTGCACATGGGTATTTGAGAATTGTTTTTATTTTTCTCAAATATAAGTCAGGTGAGCCTCTCTCTTCAAGGAAGCAATTGATAGTATATGCTGCCAATGGTAAGACTCAAAACTTTCGAATCAGAATGGGAATTTTGGGAAATTTCTATCCACCACTGTAGGCTCCTTGGGTTCCTGATACTTGAAGACTTTTCTATTGGTGTCAGAGATGATATCTTTTTAATATATTTTAATGTAATTTTATTTATTTGGTTGCACTGGGTCTTAGTTGCAGCACAGGATCTCTATCTTCATTGCAGCATGTGGGATCTAGTTCCCCACCAGGAATCAAACTTGGGGCCCCCATGTTGGGAGGTCGGAGTAGTCTTAGCTACTGGACCACCAGGGAAGTCCTCAGACGTGATGATAGATCAAATAATTTTTGATACTGTATGATAAAATGTGTCCACATTAGGAAGACCTTCATACTTCAATTAATCATCATTTTCCAAATTACAAAATCCTGCATGGCTAAAGCTACAACCAAAGTATAAGAAAGATCAATGGATTATAATATAACAGAACTTTTAAAAGTTTATTAATATGCTTTCAGAGTCCACACTGCAACTACCTTTTAAGAAACTACTATTACTGAGTTTTAGGGTAGTATCAAAGAACATACACAATTTTCTGAAGACTGTTAAAATACTCCTCCCTTTTCTAACTACATATCTGTTTGAGGCCAGGACTCTTTATATGCTTCAATGAAAATAATACACTCCAAGAGATTTCATGAAGCAGATAGAGAATTTAGCTGCACTTCATTAAGTCAGACATTGTAAAACAATGCCTTCTTTCTTTCTATTCTTTTTGTTTGAGAAAATGGAGTTATTTTTCATAAAAATATATTTATATTTCAGGAGCTTATTACTGTTCGTTTTAATAAAAATAATAAATATATACTCTTGACAACTTATCAGGGTTTTTTGTTTGTTTGGCTGAGCCATGA